ACCAAATAACATAGACTAATAACATGTAAAAACTAAATAACTTCCCCTAACTCTCACAATTTTTCTGGCTTTCTAACTGCAAGAGGAGCAATTACAAATTCATCCGAGCTAGTTGTTATCTTTCCCATGGGAACGAAGCTTGTACAACAGTGAAATTGACAGTTCTCCATTTAGAAAACAATGTTATACAATACGTCATTTGATAGATGAAAACCTTGGTTTTCTGTTGATTATAGATAATATAGAATTAAACGTAAGAGAGAACTATTAACAAATCATGAAAGAGAATATGTGACAGGTGGGTTGTGGCAAGAGGAGTCTGATTTTCTATGTGATAGCTCTGTAACCAGACAAAATTGAAGGCTATAAAAATCATTGTTTGTCTGAGAAATTATGATTTCATAGTTAGTAATTTACATTATATACTATTAAAATATGGATTATTAGCCAAGATTTTATGCTATACTAATTGGTATAAATAAGAAGTAGATTAATAAAATTTTTAATGCAAGTCCCTAAAACCTTGTGTCATGTGCAGTAAAGGATGCTTGTGAAGATAGGGTTAAGACCGTTTTGGGAGGTCAAGAATGTATGTATGAAATATTTAAAGAGTTGCTTTATGTTTTGATTCCACATTTTTATCAATTTCAGATAAAGTTTGTGTTTTATGAAAGGCTGCTTATGCTGTTCACAACAGCATTTAAAAATTAATGTTAGAGATTTATGTTCTTAATCAAATTGTCTTAGGAACAACAGATATTCAGTGGATGTTTATAAAAACATTTAACGGTCTTTATTTTAAAATATATTCTTCTTTCTGCAGTTTGTTAACAAGTTCAACATTCTCTATGACAGACAAGGAATGGGCCGTCGAATGAGAGGATTATTTTTTTAAGGACCTTGAACCAGCAGTAAAATTGTTTTTGTGAAATATCTGGACACGTTTTAATTTAAACTCTTGTCTTTACAATTAAGAACTCCTATGAAAAACAACAACAACAAAATAAAGCAATTTAAAATTCCATACTTTGTTACAGTTACACTTTCATCTAAAAATGCATTTAAACAAGTGTAGGCTTGTGCTAGACATTTAATGACTAAATACTTTAGTTAAAACTTTGATGTGAATAAAACAGGTTATAAAAGTAGGTCCTATTTGTTATCATCTGCACTTGTTATATGCTTGTTTTCATTTTCTAATTTTAAATGAACATCTTTGCTTACAATGTGATGTATTTCGGCACCAAAAACTATCAATGACACAAGGTTGTCTTCAACAGTATATTTGGTTAATTAGCTATAATTAATAAGCTTAAAATTGTAATTCTTGTTTTCTTTATATTTATTTTTGTAGATAAACCTTTAAAAGCCTCATGCAAATGAAAATTTTCAGCAACACAGTAAACTTTCTATCAGGTACTATGGAACATTGATGTAAATAAACTGAAGCTTAATATTTAGTGGTGTTGATTTAGGAAACTTAAAACAATGATTTACATAGCAATAAGCAGAGTATGAAAACCCCTTTATTTACATACTGATTACAGAACATGTATTTTCATAAGTTTGACTTTTGTCACGGAGGGGGGGTCATTTAAATAACAAAAAAACTATCCAAAATACAATAAGAAATGATTTATAAAGTAATATCTTTTACAAAATTACAAATCTAGCTGTAATGGCAAAAAAAAGTTTAAAAAAATTTTAAATCTAAGAAAACGTGATAAGAAAAAAACTTTGTGAAGCATTAACTTAAACAGCTATGGTCTTCAACTGTTAGTATTATAATACTAACTTAATATTTTTTTACTGTATTCTCAACAATAAAAGTGAAATAATAGAACTCTTAAGAAGAAACTTAATATTTTATACGAATTCCACATCTTACTGTGATTTGGATTACTGTACATATAATTTCTGCATTCATTTTTCATAAATAACATTTCAAAAGTGAGAGAAATATAGTTAATAATACATGTAATAACTCTTATCAATATAATTTTTCACTTGAACAATAATTTTACTTATATAGTACACTAGGACTTATTTATCTTAAACACTGGCTTAACATCACAGTTTGTGTTGTCCAGCAACATCAATAATTTAAACCAAGTGTTTATAACTGAGTTACTACTTAATTTTGTTACTTACCTTGTATTTCTCAGCTAGGGTAACATATTTATTTATGCTTCTACATTTTCATATGTATCATAGAGATTAATAACTAAAGTGTGGTGATGTGAGTCCAGCCCAACACATTTTAAATACTTTTTCACATTAAATAAATCTGGTACTTTTAAGAATAAAAATTGTTTTCTTTCTCTCTCTCTCTTTCATTGTTCTTAAAGTAAGAAATTCAGTGCTGCATAAAATATAAGTGCACTTTATAATAATCAGACATAACATAACATAAATATGATGACCAGATTTAAATTCACATACTAAAAGCTTGGCTAGTATACATTGAAGCAGCAACATTTAGTTTCAATTCATTGTCCTATGTGGCATTAAGTACCTACAATTAGGCTTCAGTTATTAAACCTTGTGAACCTTTTAATTTTGTGGATAGCTTCTTATTATATCTGCCAGCATACTGTAGCTTCATTACAACTTTTCTGTTTCTGGATAGACTGATTAAAAAAAAGTGAAAACAATGAGACAAGTTCACGTTTTTTTTGTGTTTTTTTTTCATCCTGAATCTATATCCATTGACTTTCTTCTTCAACTAATACACAAGTTTTCTGGAAAGGGGAGGAGGGGTCTTTTTTTGGCTATTAGTTTAGTACATTAGAACAGAAGTGTTCGGTGTTTTATATTTTCTACTCTTGGAGAACTTTTTTTTAAGTTTCTGAAGAGTATTAGGCCCTCTTTGGTTAATCTAAGAAACAAATTTGATATGTTGTTGAATTCCACAAAAAAGTTGTACCTCATGTTTCCTCTGTCTTACCTAAATCACTTGGGTGAATGTATTCATCCTTATTACACAAGTAATTTTTGATAATAAAATGTTAATTATAACTATAACTTCAATGCTTAGAAACATTCTAAAGCATAATGTTTTTATAATAAAAAAAAAATACTTTATATGAAAATCTACTTACAGTTATTACAAGAAAGACAAAACTTTGTGCATAAACATATATCAAGACAAACAAAAAAAATAGCAAATGCATAACAATCCCAATCATCCTATTCAATAAACTTTAGAAAGTTCTAACAAACATGTTTTCTAAAGTTTGAAAATACATAAACAGCACACTATATAAGAAAAATTAAAAGTTACTAATATTCAATCCTTAACATGAAATATATTGTATCATTTATACTACTAGATGCCTTAATAGATAGTAAATGTGGCTTCTATGATAACTGGTTTAACCCATAGGAAGGGCAGAAACAAGAAGCATTTTAGCATCCTTTTCATATCAGTAATTGAGCTAAAGTACTGACAAATTATACCAAACACTTCACCTTCAGTCATAAATTTCCTCATGAAGGTGGATAATTAAGATTACTATACTTTATCCAGTGCACTGACCTCAGTATGTTTCAAACATTAATGTAGATACACGAAGTAAAATTGATAACACAACATTGTTTTTAGTGGCAAGCTTTCAAACCATACTTTCAACGTGTGTCTCAATTTTGATTTATTAGTTTTGGTTTTACTTTTAAAAATTTTGATTAATTGGAAGATCTAAAATATACATCATGGAAACATGGATAAATTCGATTGTTAAGATTTTCTCCAGAATTGTTCATTCATTACAGTCGTAGCCCCATTTCATTAGCTATGACTAAAGTGGAATCTGATAATAGCACATTATTAAAATGTTTTGTAAGTATGTTGTTCCTTAATATTGCTTAATTCTTATCACTGTTGAAATATGAAGAATTAGAGAAATTTTGTATTTTCCACTACCAGACAGTTACGTGTATCTTTACTACTAATTGGACAAAAACCACGTGGCTACTAGCTTGCAAGTCAGTTGTTATAAGGTCATAAATTCAGTGTTCTTGTTACTGTTACAGACACTTAAGTGTAAAAATCAATTAAGCATAATCTGTTATGTTAAAGGAAGAAAAGAAAATGAAGGTCCACATTTTATCTTTAACATCGCGAGTTTCAATACGGTTATGCAAACTAAACCACAATTTGCAAAATAATTATTCTTTACAGATGCAGAATGAAACCTTGTATTTTACTACCTTTTTTATGAAAAAACAACAACTTGTTTTTGCAATCTGTTAAGACGTCATATAAAATACTGAAATGGAGTATAATGCAACAGTCAGGATGGGAGTTATCTGGTTGAAGCTTGAGTCCTGGTAACTCAGTAGAGTACTGTCATCTGAATCTGAAATCTAATGTAAGCTAACGATCTCTGGGCTCAAGCTACAGTCAAGGAAGTTTTCTTAATATTTTGATTCACTATAAGATGAAAACTTTTTGAACTAAAATGTATGCTACAACTTTTATCAAGAATTCCTTCTGAAAAATTATAAAAGTGATTGTACTTCTTAATGTAATGTATCTTTTGTACAAAAATAAGAGTTGAACATAGTGAAAAAAAATATAATTTTCTTACGGAAAATGTGTAAAGGAATATGTTAGTAACAAAGAAAATTATAGAAACAAAATCCACGCTACATTTATGAGAATCTATTAAAATTATCAGTGAGATCTAGGAGATAAAATCCTTAATTTACGAGTATAGTATATGTTAAGTTCTTAATGTTATTGCCAAGTTTATATTGAAAAGCATAATGCAATATTTATCCATGATAATGTAAGGTTTCATCTATGAAATTCTTTATATGTGATATGTGCTACTAAGTTATTTTAAAGACTTGATACATCACTCAGTACACAAAGGTTTTACTTAAATACTCTCACTGGAGGTCAGCAAGATAACCAACATATTCATTAACTTTTAAAGGGGTTATATTGCATGAAATGTATTAATGTAACTTGCATATAAACTTTTCAACCCAGTCAACAATTAAACATCTATATATATACCTATCTTCAGATATGTACACTATAGAACACTATTCATCATTGACATTTGGGTATAACTGCTTTTGCTGCAGTATGATCAGAAAAATTAACAACCAGTACAGTAACGTTATCTAAAGACCCACGAACATATGCTTGCGTGGCAAGACTTTTCGCACCTAAGAATGGTTCATCCAAATGCTCTGAAATATAAGTTACAGCTTCTTCATTTGTAAAAATATCCCACAATCCATCTGTTGCTAGCACCATAAACCTAGGCTGAAGGTCGGAAAGATTGAAAGTTAGAATATCTGGCTCTGCAGTGATGAGGTTACGCTCCTTCAAGGGAAAATCTCCTAAAGCTCTTGAGGTTGCAAGGATTCCAGCTACTCGCCAAACACCATTAAAAGTAATAAATCCACCTGCCTCTTTTATTCTCTTGTGCTCCTTCAGCTGGGTAAAAAAAAATATATAAAACAAATCTAGTACTTAAATTCTGGTACAGTTTAAAGAAGACTCAAAAGATATAACACAAAAAAAGCAAAACCAATTAGTGTATGAATACTAAAAGCTTTTCAGCTTCATATAGAACAAACATCTTCCAGTCATTTAACATAAAATTCTTTAATAGGACAAACTTCTATAATATAACGTCTAAAAAGCAAACAAAAAAAATATGATTTAGAAGAAGCAAAAATGTAAACAAATTTTGCTTAGTACAGGTTTTAGTTGAAAACTAATTATTATCCAAACCAAACATATACTGAAAATAGTTGTTTATTATTATACAATTAGAAACAAGAGCATTTTTCAAGCTATTACTCTTGACCAGCAAGAGCTATAAGTAGTTTGAACTGAATAAAAAGTAGATCACTGACAGAAGTGGAAACAAATTCAAAACTTTGTACCTAATAAAGCCACTAATTAAGTGTTAGTACTGTTTAGATAAGTTGTTGACTTAATAGCCTGTCACGCATTTTAAGCTTTAGAAAATTTTGAAATATGTATTG